CAATTGATGTACCACACGCGCCTAACGACTCTACGTCAACCGAAAATAATACCTAGGGTACCATGTAACGCTATTTCGATGTTTTTCGGCTAATAAGTATGTTCGTTACAAACGATGAAAGAAATATTACGAAATTACATGTATCACGAATATACCTTTCTTTACCCTACATCATCATTGTTGTGTACACGTGTGGGAAAGTCACATATTTTTATTTTGTCACTAATTTAAAATCACATTTTTGATAACCTGCGCGATGATGCAAATTACATATGTWTATATATTTTATTTTATYGGTGCATAATATATGAGATATTATTTCAATATATAATAACTTACCCGGGGTTGATTTGCAGGAATGCATTTCTCTGCATCGTTTGTATGTTATCGCCGGTCAGACAGATAAGAGTGGACAACGAGAACCTCCTGATGACGGAAAGTTGATCTGAAACCGTGAAAAAAACGTTTAAAACTATGTTATTGGAGATACGTCTTTCGGCGATTGGAGGGAACGTGCAGGCGTGGCAATAAATAATGACGAGTGTAAAATGCTGTACACAGCTGGTTCACCGATCATATTCTGAATCTCTAGGTTGTACTTTAACTGTAGGTACATTTGTTTGAATCGTATTTTCACTTTTTTTCTTCAAATATCATCTCTTAAAATACGCTAAATACCACGGGTCCAGGAAATATCGGAGCAATAATTATATTATTTGAAAATTATTATTATAGCAATCAATATATTTTGTCTATTGGAATTTTATAATTTACTAACAATAATTTTTCTGGACTTTTAATATTACATATATCTACTTATATTTWAAAACYGTCTTTAAGTATMCGTCTAGGAAATTTAAAAAAGTTYAATGTCAAATAAATAATACAACATACTACATAGCTGAGCACTAAAATAGGAATGAGAAATTAGCATTTTAGGWGATRGTCTATACATAATATATATTTTTAACAGCTGTAGCAATACTCAGTGAAAAAATKCTTAATGCTTACCCGGTGAAAAAGCTCCAGGCGATATATCGTACTCGTAGAAGAATCTATCGCCTGCTTTGTAACGGAAGAATCCTTCCCCGAGGACGCATCTAAAGGAAGGAGTGGTTAGCGTTCCCGGAATAATTCTTTCGAGCATACCGCCGACCAGGTAATCGATGTCKTCGGTTGTCGGATAGATTTTAGCTAATCGTTCAATTCTCTGCAAATTAAATATTTTCAAGTTTCTTCAATCATAAACACAGTCCTTGATTAATTATTGTTGAGAAAATTACCTCTTCGTCCATGACGTCTCTGAGATCATCGAACGTCGAAGCCTTCGGTAATCCACATAGCGACCTGAAGTGATTATAAGAAGGTATTCCCATGTCCCGACCACGTTGTATGTCTTTCGCTACCAAATCTTGGCCCAGGGGACCATTCGCTCTGAACAGCAAATCAGTGATCTAAAAATCAAAAGCCATCATTTAAATCTTCAGTTGAATAATACGTATTTTAATRTTTTCAATAATAATTTACTATTCAATCATTACGAGTATTTAACTTTGTCGTAAACAAAATTATTAATCGTAATTACATAAAATGTTTTMAAAAAAAATATATAATGTTATTATAATTCATAATTGAATTAAATCGTTAGCAAAATTATATGGTCAATTAGGTATCAAATAAATTATGATCAAAGTTTGTATATATTATACATACATAATAATTTGGTTATTTTACCGTATCGATCGGATGAATAAGAAAAATTAATAATTTGGTGGATAAATCTGTGTTTATAATGATCGTCTTCATTTTTAATCCCATAATACTACATTTCGACCAAGGAAGAAAAAAACATATTCATAAAACAGGATTTTAAAATAATTATGGGGTAAAATCGATATCTATAAATTTGATCAGTATATTATTAAATATTTTCTCCGTGTTAACGACTAYATTTTAATGCATGCAAAAGAAATGTAATGATTTTTTATAACACGGATATTATACATAATTTTCTACAGGAATTATTTAATATATTAATGAGTGTGATAGCTGCTAATAAACTATTAATTAAATAAATTATTTATTAATAGATTCCCACTCAACCAAACTTAAACTGTCGTATGGTATTTTCGGCGCAAGTAGGTATATAGGTATTTTATTTCACAAACATAACCCATACGAGAAAAAGTAATAAATCACATCACCATTTCGGTAAGTACTCACTTCTTCACTGAAAAATATGTCTTGTGCTTGTTGAGGTTGTGTCGCAATACCTCTCAGGAACATATCATAGTTACCCGGTCTTTGTATGATACCAGGCTTGTTCATCCATTCACTGAAACGTGTTGGCGCGGCACCGTTTTCGCGATCTTCATTCACCAAGCTGAACAATTGGAAAATAAAAACAATTATGTACTCCGCTTTTTTTGTATTTGAGTAATTTATTTCACTCACTTAAAAATGGATGGCACCAGACTGTGCAATGATCTAAATGCTCCACCAGCAAAGCTAGCCAGTGTGGATGGATTAATGTTTGAGTTGTACAAATTACTATAACCTTGTTTTAGTGTGGAGATGCCATTTTCACGAACGTAATTTTCACCTATAAATAACAAAACTATTATTACCCACAAGGTTAAAAATACTTATTTTATACAGTTATTGTTATTTTTATTTTTTATGTTTCTATTTTAAGTTCTATAAATTGTTTTCCGAAGTTATCGACTGGTTTAAATTTGCATCAAACTTTAGATATCATATTATATAATGTACAGGGTATTATGATATGTTTTTAATATAAAGCATAATACCACCGTGTGGTGAAACTTGTAATAAAAGAAGGATCAATATTTAATATCGAGTTTGAACTATTATGTTTATTTATACGTGTACCTATTCAGAAAAGTTATGTACTACCTTATGTCGAAGGATCTAAATCTTAGTATTTTGGGGAAAGGTATAAAGTCATATTTGTTTTATGAACTGTTTAACAAGAAAAGTTTTGAATAAATGTGATATCAAATTCTGATTGAATTCAATTTAATTAATTTAGTTAGAAATAAATTTATCAAGATATATTATATTATATAGGTATTAAAAACTTATTTAATTTAAATACATTATTATGAAAATATTTATTAACAAATCTTATCAGCTTATTGTATATATACTGTCATCAATATAAATACATATGGCGTCTACTAGGTGGGATGTAATAAAATAAATTAAAGATGACTTAATTGTATTCACTTCCAATGAATTRGTTTCTTACCATTGGTATAATCTTATGAAAAGTAACCAGTAATTTATTATAACTTTAATTTGTACTTTTTACTATTTATAAAAACGAGTAACACAATATAATCATTATTTTTACCAATATTATAATAATTTTTGGTATTAGTATTGTTAAGATTATTATTAGTAGTCATCGATTTTCATATTGTCACATCGTACGTATAGTACAGTATATTATTAATACAATTTATGTATAATTTTTAATGTTTATTATAATGTTAACATCTTGTTGTTTTTTTTTCTACTCTTACAACATTGTATGGATATAGGTATATAACGAGTATTGAACTTCAACTACACATTATGTTAACTTGTAGTGTTTTAGTAGGTGTAGATGACAAGACATTAGGATATAATAAAATTTATCTTAGTCATATAATTATAATAAACAGTATTTGAAACTGTATATTATCTATGTATTTATTTCCTATTTAAATTATATATTT